CATGTCTATCATCTCCAATAAACTCTGCTGGGTTCAGTTTGTGCTGTGTGCTGCCAGCACTGATACTTCAAACCTGAGAGTTTCAGCACAACTTATAAGTTGAGCTGTAACAAAGATAAAAAAAAAAAAATTTTAAAAAAAGAGTCTGTCCTTAAGGTGTGCCCCCAGGGTCAGGGTGATTGCTATCATTATAGCAGAAAATGAAAAATAGATTGTTTAAATGGCATAATGGAAAGAATGGGTTTATTTGTAGTGCATCCAAAAATAACCACTGAAATAAGGCTGAATTAAACAGATTTTATTCAGTGGTCAGTAGGGATGAAACGATTAACCGCAAGCCGGTCGAAAATCGATTCAAATATGTGACGATACAAATCGGTCGAGATGCCAAACAAATCGCGATACAATTGGAGTAGGCATTTATATGAATGTATCTCTGAGGGGAACTGACTATCTTTAGAAAAGTTTACGTGGTATTTTCTTTTCATCTTGCCTCTGAACAGTGTATATTAAAGTAGTGTTCATAAGTGCAGCTCTGCTTTGTTTACAGCGGTAACCAAGGAGACACTGTCATTGCTGTTCATAAGCGCCACCTGCTGTCAGAGAGTGAATCTGCTTCTCATTCAGCTCGTCTGCTGTTTCGTTCAGATATGTTTTATGTAGTATAGTTTCACAAAACTAAAGTCAGACCATTCTGTTTTTGCTTCAAATTTCGAAATGATACATTCTAATTTAGATTAAAAACTACTCATGCTGCATGTATGCAGCATCTTTGTTTGGATCATGATTAAAATACAGTGGTTGCCTCTAATTTTAAATGGAAAGAGCACAGACAAAGCCTTAGTTTGTTCATATTAAGAGATTTCTTTTATTTGCGTAACTTATTGTTTGATTTGGGGTTTGTTTTAAAATTTCAATTTAGTTTTGTTATATTTCAATTTCACAAAGAAACGTGCAGCAATAGCCTAATAAAACGACACCTTTTCATTTACTGTATAATGTCTTCAATCTCATTTTGTTAAAAAAAATCGTGAGTAAATCGAATCGTGAAATCAAAATCGTGAATCGAATCGAATAGTGAGTGGAGTGAATCGTTACATCCCTAGTGGTGAGGATTTTTTCGATGACTCTTTCTGCAGGTTACATCGATAAACTAGTAGGTGGCGACAAGTGACTGTCATCCGTGAGCGAGTCATTCCCTCAAACTCTTTCTTCAAAAACACTGACTTATTCAGGAACTAACAAACAGGGTTATTATCATTAACTAAAACTATTAAAAAAAAAAATTTTCATTCCTCGAAACAAAATAAACATTAACTGAAATTAAGTAAAATAAAATATAAAAAAAAATTATTTCAGCTAGTTCCCAAGGCAACATTTCTTTGAAGTACTGAAATAACTAAAACTAAAACTTAATGAAAACTACATACCTTAAAAAAATATGTAAATAAATAAATGACAAAACACAATGAAATTACTAAAAATTAAATTTAAATGATAACAGAAAATATAAAAATAAAATCTAATTCAAAATAATAACAAAAATATAATAGTATATCAATAATACTAAACTAACATTGCTACAAGTCTGTTTCGATGAGTCACTGAATCACTTACTAGACTGATTTCATTGGTGGAGTCAAAACAGGTTGGCAAAATTGTGTCTAAAATACATTTTATAAATACACTATTTTTTGACTGAACAAGTTTATTGAACAGTTGTAAAAAGTTGTAAAATTTTGAAAATTGTGCTTAAATATGTCTGAAATGTAAAGCAATCTAGTTGGTTAATACGAGCATTTACTGAAATTGCAAGAATGACTTGTTTATATATTCATATAGTTTATTTTTCTAATATATATTATATCTATTTTTGTTTGTTACATTTTTTAACACATTTTTGTTGAGCCCTGGATGTGTTAAACTTACAGTACTGACCCCTGTTTCCATAAATACTCCATCTAGACCAGTGTTTCCCAACCGGGGTGCCGTCTGTCGAGAGCAGGGGTGCCGTGTAAAAAATCCTTTTTTAATATTTTTAAATTGCTAAAATTTTCAAAAAACATCTATTATATAATATCCATTTCTGATGTTGCAAATAATTAGAAATGCACCGAAATTCCGGCTGCCGAAAATTAGTTCACCGCTCAGGATTCACTTTCACGTGGTGTGACGCTCTGCGTATTATCCCGCTCTATGCGTGTGTGCTCGACTAAAAAAAGGTTGGGAAACACTGATCTAGACAACAAGACTGACACTGGACAAAAGCTGAACAGGGCCTAAGTTGTCACTTTAAAGAGGTCACCTCTCTGCATGGAATAGGGCATGAAGATAAGACGACTTCTGAATGGATAGCACCCTTAGTCAAGCATGAAAAGGTGTTGCATCATGTAATAACACTAAATATCATCAGTCAGTGAGAAATGTGTCACCCTACCTCATTGAAGAGCACTCGACCGCTCTGGCCCTGCGTGCCACTGACAGAGTGTGAGCCGCTCTTCCATGTGCGCCCGAAGAAGAGCTGGTGACCCGAGTCAAAGAGGGTCACACGCAGCTGATACTGGAGTGATGGCGGTGACTCTGACTGTTGTCATGCCAACCACAGGAAGAAAAGGAGAAAAAAAGGAAAACAAAAAATGTTATCTCTGTAGTTGTGGGTATCTTATGGGTAGTTGACATAAGATTTCAAGCAGTGACAGTGTGCTGCAGTGTGACACGATATAATTCATCTAAAACATTTAACAATACAATTTTTATGACCTATTTATATACTGTATTACACCCACTGCTCCGGGTGTGTGTTCATGTTTTGTGTGTGTGTGCACTTTGGATGGGATAAATGCAGTGCACTAATTCCGAGTATGGGTCACCATACTTGGCCACATGTCACTTCACTTCAAAAGGAAAGAACATTTTATGATGAACACACACACTTCTGTGATATGCACAAGTACATTTTGTTCATTTCATACAAAGATGAAATCACGTCACTTATATATATATTTAAAACTTTATGCAATATAAATATAAAGATATTTTTTATGAATAATTAATAATTCTGTGTGCATCTATATATTATTTATTTATTACTAATAAATATTGGTTTTATAGTCTAGAATTCATTATATATACTGATTATATATAACTTTATGTAACAAATATATAACTTATTATTTATTGATAATTAATATATTGATAATTAATACATATTAGTGTGTGTATATATCATTTATGACTAATACATATTTTTATAGTTTAGAATTTCATTATATATACTGATTATATAAAAAAATTATATAATATTAATATAATATATATTATTTGTTGTTAATATAATTATGTGTGATATTTAATACTAAGAAATATTTATTTTATATTCTAGAATTTCATTATAAAAACAGATTATATGCTATTATATTTATATTATATTGTGTTGGATGGATGGATGGATGGATGGATGGATAGATAGATAGATAAATAAATAAATCAATTAATACTTATCACATATTTCATTATATATTTTTAGCAAAGGCAAATTGATATAAAACTTAAATTAATATTAATCCTTAATTTCATCCATGTTTTCTTTCCTGTAAAATTGGAAATATGAAATATGAAAATGTCTGAAACATGTTTTGTTGGGCTTAAGGATACACTTGATGGTTAAAATGTGAAAATATGAGAAATTATGACTAGTGACATGATCTAACAATACATTTAGATTTTTACATAACATGAATCTGAATTAAACATCCACCTGTTTTATGTGAAGTCCATCGATCTGTTTGAAGACCAGCTGCAGACCTTGAGAAGATCCTGAAGCTTGTCTGGCTGTTTGACTGTGAGGCGGGATCACGCGGTTTCTCTCGAAAGTGTTTTTCCAGTCTGACATGTGCGAGCTTTCTTCACTAACGTTACTATCAATCTAAGTTACCAGGGAACGTCTTTAAAGCGGTCGGTCAGTTGAGCGTTAATGTTCCCTGGCAAGCATCACTGAAAACGTCTAAAAGCTTCCCAGGTTGTTAAATCATTCCCGCAGGCGAAGTGAAGCGCTTGTTACTTAATTAAAATCAAATGCGGAATATTGACCAAATGCGACGCTAAATCACGCAGAGACTCTTTTTGTAGGCTGCTCATTCATTTCAGTCTCTGCAGTCAACAGCAGTTTGACTCGTTCTCTTTCTTTTCTCCTACTAACGGTTCCGTCGCTTGTAAGTTAACTAGGCTAATTTTACAGAATGACTAGTTCTGACATTTTTGACACGCTCTACGCACTGTTGTTTTCATAATCATAATACACGTAATGAAAATGTCAGGAAGGGATTCTCTCTGTAGTGGTTGCCATAGCGTCTGATAGCCGTTGCCAGGGTGAATTAAAGAGAGTTTTGGCGCTTTCCTGCAGGAGAAAAGTGCAGGGCTGATTTATACCGCCACCGTGTGGCTCGGTGGTGAATCTAAGCTCTGACTGGCACTGCTTAATCAGTTTTTGTTAGTCTATGGGTTTTTTTTACCAAGGAGAATTCTGAAACCGTCGTGATTTAAAAGAATAATAATAATAATAATAATAATAAAGATATAAAAATAAGAATAAGAAAGTTGCTAAAACAACAAAGGTTAACCGATTCGCACGTAGTATGCAAAAGTTGTAGTCCTTGTGCATTCACATTTGACAGTGTGCAAATTGTGTTGTGGAAAATGTGAAAGTCTATCGAAGTACTGTTAACCACATATCTTATTTTATTCATAAACTGACAATCCTATTTAACACCCAAGCGAAATGCCTGAGGAAACCAAAATGCTGATTCTCGGGGTTTTGGAATACAAAATGAACCACTCTATTACATTCTCATTTTTAGCATTAAATGATTAAAACATATATTACTATTATGCTTTTTATTTTTTATTGTATATTTTGTTTTATTGTTCATTACATAACCGTGTTATTTTCATTTTCATCCACGAGGTGGCAACGCGCGTCGTGTCGTTGTTTTGAACGCTCGTGCAGACACAGGGCGGAAGAGAAACTTTAGCATTTGCGGAAAACAAAATATGCACAAAATAACAAACCCCAAGCTGTTTAAGATCAGAAGGGCCAACCAGGCCAAAAAATACGGAATTGCAGCTGTTACCCTGAAGGAGCTGATTAAAAAAGCATGCCATTTACTAAAGGTATAATAAAATGCATTTTCATGTGTTTTTTATTATTATGGAGAGAGTTACTTTAATCTACAAAGCTCTTGGATGCAGCTGCTGTCAGACATTCATAATTCACATTTTATCCACAGGTATCCAGCTCCGGAGGCCAGGTCTGCTTATACGAGGACGGGACAGTAGTTACCGAAGAGTATTTTCAAAATCTTCCCCATAACACGGAACTTGTTCTTCTGCCTGAGGGACAGAGCTGGAATGGACGTGAGTGAATTCATTGACTGACAGTTAGCCTGAAACTGGAAAACACTGCCTGAACATAATAAACAATAATATTGTGATCAGTTATAAATAATGGAACGAATCAGATTGCTTTGGCTTTTCATTTTCTACAGTTGTGCATGAAATAAACCAAGTCCTGGGTTTGGACAGAGACGCAGACCTTCTGATCAGTGCAGCGAAGGATCTTCTGGCAGATGAACGTTCTCCCAAACGGCGCAGAATACTGGGAGACCTTCTGAGGAACCTGAGGGACAGTTCAGAGGTGGAGAGCAGAGAAGATGATAAGGACTGGTTTCAAGGTAATGAGGGGAAAGAACATAATATGCAGGCATTTACTGTATGTATACTGTAACTGATTCTTCTGAGGCAACATTAAAGGGGTCTTATTATGCTTTTTCACTTGTTCAACTTTAGTTAGTCTGTAATGTTGCTGTTTGAGCATAAAAAAGATCTGTAAAGTTACAAAGCTCAAAGTCCAATTCAAAAGGAGATATTTTATTTAACAGAAATCACTTTTCAAAAACTACAACGAACGAACGCATATTTTCCGGGATTTGTGATATCACAAATATCGACGAATGGGACGAGACCTGGTTGAGCTGCACTAAAGAAGGCAACGAGTGTTATCACTATGTCGGAGACACGCTAGCTTTCCCAAAACAGACGAACTTAGAGGGGTTACAATCATCCAGGTTTAAATCGAGCTCAAATTGATTTGATTTTGACGCAATATTTACACTGAAGCTCGCAGGCGGCTATGGTAAGGGGCATGACATTTCCCGACCAGGTGCCGAGTGCTGCCAGTCACAACACACACTGGCCCAGCTAACCAATCACAGCACATTTCGTATTTCAGAAGGCGGGCCTTCATTTGATACAGGAACTATTCGAGCCGTTCATGCCAGACTGGGAAGAGAGGTGTTGTAATAATGTAAAATATGTGAAAAATAATGTGTTTTTCGAACAACCTAGTATGAGAGAGCCTGTTCTAGTACACCCCCAAAACAAAATCAAGACTTTGTAAAAGAGCATAATAGGACCCCTTTAATACATATACACATTTTCAAAAATGTTTTCATACATACTTTAAGATGTGTTGTTGTTTTAAGCATGAATGCTATGATTGGTATGTTTTTGGGGTACTCGATTTGACCCAAACCTAACCCGAACTATTTCACATTTCTTATTATATAAAAATGTAATCTTAAAAAAAAAAAAAGAAAAAGACAAGATACTGTAATTTTTATAGATAACATTATTAGGCTGTATTATTGGCTATTGTATTATTAAATATTATAACTCACAAAGAACATGTCACCTAGAATTGTAGGGGAAATGTTCTTAATTGTCAAACTAATTTCACACGGTTAATAATTATCAAAATTGGTTTCATTTTAAAAATATAAATCTATCATTTATTTGCATATATATGTACAAATAAATTAGATATGTTATGATACTTTTATATTTTTAAATATTCATATAAATAATACAAATATGAAAATATGACCGTATACAGTATTTCAGATATTGAAATGTGTTGCATATGTGCACGTTTTCTCACATTTCTCATGTCTGTATGTCAGGTATTGATGCCCGGTTTAAAACCAAGTCTGCTTACATGAAGTATAACTGTGAGAGCAGAATCCGAGGATATTTGAAAGAGGTGTGACAAACAGCTCTCAGTTCTGCTTTAGATGTTAGTTTTTGAATTATTGAAGATATTTATTACATTTAGTGGAGTTTATCATTCATTTCATGCAGCACAGGAGACCTGTCGTTATTCTGAAGGAGATGTATTGTTCACTGTCTGTAGGTTGATGGATATACACGGTCTATTCCAAATGCCAAGACAAAAAGTGAATATAAAAAGGTGGTGGAGATCCTGGCAGAGAAACTGAAAGCTGCACGGTATAATGGCACCTATTTTGACAGATCGGAGAGGGACGTCCACAGGCTCTGCACTGAAGAGGGCTGGTTCACCTGCCAGGTGCTGTCATTTAGTCATTTCTAATGAGTCTCATTAGTTCAGTCTCTTGTCATTTTTCTTTGAAGGAAAATAATGAAACATAAAAATGTAAAACATCTCTCATTAACTGCTTTGTCACAGTGGTACAGTAGTTTTTATTTGTATACGAATATAAAAGACTTTTGTGCTAACAGGGTGCCTTTGATGAGAACAACTGCACATTTCTTCACTCAATAAACCCATACGGGAACCGTGAGAGCAGAATTCTCTTCAGCACCTGGAATCTGGACCACCTGTGAGTAGTAAATCTTAAATGTAAATGATTATTAAAAAAACATTTAAGTGCACTTAAATCTTGATGTACATTTTAATATCAAAATATCAGTATTTAGCACGTCTGATAAGGAATAACATTCTGAAATCAAAATGTGTTTTTCAGGATAGAAAAGAAGAGGGCCATCATCCCCACACTCGCTGAGGCGCTGAAGGGCAATAAGAGCGGCGATATAAATGTGGATTATTTCTACAAACTGTTGTTCACAAGGGAGAATCTCAAGCTGGTTCACATCGTCTGCCATAAGAAAGGAGCCCATGAGCTCAGCTGTGACTCCAGAAAAATCTACAAACGGGTCAGGAGGACTGTGAAATGAAATAATCCTCTTATGAATTCTGCAGCTTAGTGTGAAAGTTTCAACTTTAGTGAATCACAAGCACTGATGCAAGTTCTGAGATGCTCAGGGCCATTTTATCTTATTATGGGGTTATATTGTGCTTTAGGTATAGACATTTTTAATTGTAACTTTTAGTTTGTTATACACCAAATTTTGTTCCAAAACATTTGTGACCCTGGACCACAAAACCAGTCTTGTGTCAATTTTTCAAAATGATGTATGGTTTGTTAGGATAGGACAATATTTGGTCGAGATACAACTATTTGAAGATCTGGAATCTGAGAGTGCAAAAAAATCTAAATATTGAGAAAATCGCCTTTAAAGTTGTCCAAATGAAGTCCTTAGCAATGCATATTACTAATCAAAAATTAAGTTTTAATATATTTACGGTAGGAAATTTACAAAATATCTTCATGAAACATGATCTTTACTTAATATCCTAATGATTTTTGGCATAAAAGAAAAATCTATAATTTTGACCCATACAATGTATTTTTTGCTATTGCTACAAATATACCCCAGCGACTTAAGACTGGTTTTGTGGTCCAGGGTCACATTTGTTTAAATTATGTGAATAACATTTTTACAGGGTTTCATAACTGACTGATTTTATATTTTTTTATTTCAATTTTTACTGGTTTATTAAGAACTAAATATCTTTGAAAACAGTCTCTATTTGAATCATGAAGCATGTTTGGGAACAGGATATCTTGTACAGCTAATGTTTGTAGTACTTTCAACAACAAACAATAGCCTTATTTACTGTACAAAATATACTCAAGACTTCTGTGACAAAAATAATGTTTTCAAAAATTACACCAAACAAGGTTAAATATGAAAAAAGTTGAATAAAAAAATTAATAAAATGTAGAGACGTATACACATGCATATACATATAAAACACAAAAGTTGATTTCCAAAGCTGTTAGTGAGGTTTATTTTCTCTGGACGGAGTATTTTACCTTTCATATGATAATTCACAGAAGATTTGATATTAAATAAGTTTACATGTCATGTGCATACAAAGCATTTGGTAGCAAAAAAAATAAATCAGCACTTGGTTTATCACTTCAATAGAAAAATATAAACTTCAAAATCACACTTTCTACAATTTTTACCTCATACAATTTGTACATAGTAGCAAAGAAACTACATTTTAAAATGTTACATCTTTGAGCCACTTGTTCAAGTTAGTGCAAATCCTGTCAAATAAGATGCAAATCATATACAGACAAATCCAATTCTTGGTGAAGCCACATGCATAATACAGATAAAACCCTCTTAATTTGAGATACTAACCTTTAAAAAAATCTTTACATCATAAGCCTATCAAAGAACATAAGATGTCAAAATAGCTACATGCTTTAATTTTCAATTATACAGCACCAAATCTGAAGTATTAAGTGTTTTTTCCAAAACAAATCTATTCATTCTCAACAGAGAATGTTTAAAAGTGCCAAATTCAGAATGTCCAAGCTAATGTTCAAATTGCTTTCAAAGTCTGAACAGCAAATTTGAGGCACTTGACTGATAAAACGATATTTGTTTATTTCAGAGCACATTAGTAAGGACAAATGGTAGAAAACCCAGTGTACAGAAAGTTATAGAAATTATTTAGCTTTCTTTCAGTGGAAACCCCAATCACATGATGGTTTTAGCCTGAAGTCTAGCACCTCTTACTGTACATTCCTTTAGTGTGGCACATATATAGTAAGTTTATAATTAGGGATGCCCTAACATTTTTGCCGTTGTTGTTGTACCTCATTAAATTTGCATAAGACAAAAATTACCACATTACTGATAAATCGACAGTGCATCTCAGTGTAGCTCAAACATTATTTAAGAAGGCTCTTGGAATAAAATAGCTTCCTTTAAAACAATCAAATCCATTTTACCATCATAAAACTCCTTCCATGTCAATGGCATACAGTTTGAGTGACTCTGTGAGAGGAATTGTGTCCTCATAGCTGCTCGTCTTCACTGTCCTCTTTGGCATAGTAATGCATGCTCCTGTACTCTCTCCGACTCATTCTCTTGCTTCCTGGGGTTCTGCGTGGGTAATTCTGAAACAAATCAGGTCAGAATGTTTTAAAACAAAGCCACATTAAGACGTTAAAACTGCATTAATGACAGTGTCTGTTGAGTGCATGCATTATGAAATCAGCCAGACACCTGCTGCGTTTTGACACCCTATTGAGCATTAACAGACCTTCACTCCAATAATCCTACATGGTCATGTATTAATCTCAATATTTTAGGATCACTGTGTGTAAACAAAGCCATCTGGCTGCATGTTATTCATCTGCAAAGCTCAACTTAGATCAGGGTTATGTTACTGGGCCAAAGAGCCATGAAAGTTCACATCCTGCACGGGCCATCAACTGATATTTAACAACAATAAATTGACGTTTCTTATTTTTACTTTTAATTATGCTACTATGAAATCTACAATTTTATATATTTTTCCTTCTTTATTACTATTATTGTATACACACACCAGATAGATAGATAGATATTTACTTTCCTTTTAACAATTAAATTTTCCTTTTTTTCTTTCATATACTAAACTGGGCAAAGAGTTCCTTAACTGACATGTATTATAATAGTGATTTATGAGACTTTTATTATTTTTAATTAATAAAAAAAAACTTTTTATTCTATGCACCGATTTAATGTCACAGACGGCAAACTGATCACGTGACTATTTCCACCAGACATGTAAAAAATGCTCACATTAAATCAACACCGTTTGCATTTGAAATTATAGTTACAAAAATACATAATTTATTTTTAGAATTTTGAAAGTCAAACGAAAATGCTGATCGCACATGTTAGCTCTGAATTCAATTCAAACCAGCGCTATTTTGCTGCATTTATGCTCTAATACCCAATCATGACAACACATTAGGAGTTCAATCACTTGACCTGCCAGTGGTTGGCAGTCCACTATCAGGAACCATTGATTTATCGCAGATTTATGTGTTTTGCTCCAGAAATTTTATTTATATTATATATATAGTTGGAAGATTTATGTTCATATGACTTTATTCTTTTAAATGATCGACGTTTTATGGAGTGATATGGAACGTGTTAAATTTGGAGCTAAAAGTGACTGGCTGCTCTGAAGCAGGAGTAACCTCCAGTCGGGATCACGGCCATTTGAGCACTTTATTCAGGATAAACCTCCCTTAAATGTCGATGATACAAAAGAGTATATTCATAAGAATACATTAATAACAATAGAACAATGAATTTCATTGCAGTAAGAGTTGCAGGGAAACCGTTAAACCTGCAGCTTAATAGTGGCAGTAACCCACCAGTCAGGATCACGGCCATTAGATAAGCCTCCTTAAAACATATATCATACTAAAGAATAGATTCAAAAGAACATACACAATAATAAAAATTATTCATTTCCTTGCAACAGGAGTGGTGGGGAACACATAGCCTAGGCATACTCGTAGCTTAATAAAGGCTGGCTCGAGAAAGCGGTCAGAGGAAGACATGAACGCAAATAAATATATTCATTTATTCAAAGTAATTAAAAAGAAAACAATTTACAAATAAAATAAAATAAATGTAAACAAAATGACTTCCAAATAGGTAGATCTGTCTTCAAACAGTAGTTGCCTAACTGGCTGGAGTGGCAGACCAGCTGACCCGCCAGTGGATGGTGGCAGGTCACGTGACCTGTCAGTGGCAGCTCCTGCCAGCCAGCTGAAGACTGAACTCCCACTCGAACAACGTGTTCTGAATCGGTTTAGCTTACCTGAACAACATCCATGTTCCCAAAGAACTGCTCCACTGGGAAAATGTGATTGCTGTCCTCGTCGAAGAAAATGCTCGGGTCCTCTCGCGTTTGGGGACTGTGAATGACGGTTTGGTCCATCTTCGCCTCTGCATAGCCGCTTGTCAAAGCAGTACACTTGGCGGCAGAGTTTTCCTTACCGCGTCGATCACCCGAAGTCTTTTTACCGGGTTGAATTTTGACGTTTTCATTCATGGTCGCGCTAGATTTCTCCTCTACTTCGCCGTGAAACGGTCTCTTTGGAAGACGTTTGGCCTCCCCGCCGTCGCCTGCCATCTGCTGCGCTGCGCTCGCGATATCAGACGCCGATCTCTGCACCAAACCGCGCAGGACTCTCCTCTGCACAGCCTTCTGTGGATAAAAGACCAGTAATAAATGTATACATGTAAATAATAAAATATCAGCGCGGTTTTAGACGTGGCTGATACATCGTGAGAAACCTTGTTGTTACTGTAGCCGACAGACGGAAACCGCGGGGAGGAGATGGATGAGTAGACGCTGACACTGACCTTGACTGAACTTTTCACACCAGGCGTGTTTAAAGAGACAGTGCCGCGCACTCGCAGTCTGTGGCTCCCAACGACAATCCGAAACAAGAGAGCACTATCCTTATTAGGGACATTGTATGATCAATAATACATCCGTTTCCCCGTCACAAACTACCGAGTGAAATTTCCATTTCGTGCTCCAAGCGAGGCTCAGTCTACACGCCAAAACTGTGAACCAATCCTTAATAAATTATATTTCACACTGAACGCTGAAACTGATCGTGCATGCTTATGCTAGCAAAAAAAAAAAAAAGACTTCTCAAAAGTAAACGCTCAGAATCAAGTTATCTTACCTGCTTCGCCCTCATTGGACGTTTCGGCGTTGAAAACCGAGTGTGGAGTCCTGAGAGTGTTCATCTCCGGTGACCGCTGAAGTCCCGCCCATATCCGATAATCTGCGCCACACAGAATCACGAGATGGGAGTTGAAAACTTTACTAGGCTTTTCTGAGGCGGTGGCTGATATACCCATCAGTTAGTACCAGTCCGTTTGTACAAGTCATAACCGTTATGACCAGTGGTATAAGCGATTAAATTACATTAAATGGCAAGTTATTCATCGTAGAAATATGTCGAATTAGTCATATACTGTGTAAGACTTCCGTTATGACCAGTGGTATAAGCGATTAAATTACATGAAATACTACTAATAATAATTCATTACATTTATATAGCGCTTTTCTAGGCACTCAAAGCGCTTTACATTGTCAGGGGGTATCTCCTCATCCACCACCAGTGTGCAGCATCCACCTGGATGATGCGACGGCAGCCATAGTGCGCCAGAACGCCCACCACACACCAGCTTATTGGTGGAGAGGAGACAGAGTGATGAAGCCAATCAGTAGATAGGGGGATTGTTAGGAGGCCATGATGATCAGAGGCCAATGGGCAAATTTGGCCAGGATGCCGAGGTCAAACCTCTACTCTTTTCGAAGGACATACTGGGATTTTTAATGACCACAGAGAGTCAGGACCTCGGTTTAACGTCTCATCCGAAGAACGGGCAAGTGTACGACTTTTAATAGAACAAAAATGCTCTAAAGACATGCTAGTAGTTTTTATAGCGCAGAAAACTGATGTAAATGGCTAATAATATCATTAAAATATGCTTACATTTGGCAGGACAATCTATATTTATAATATGCAATACTGCAAATGCTGACAATCATTGACTGACCCTACCGCTTTGAACCACACTGGGGCGCTAAATACTAAAATTGTGAGTTTAGTGCTAATCAACTCCTTGACATCTTCAAGTATCTTTTTGAGTGTGCTTGTGGAAGGGACGTGAAAAGTGGGTTACATACCTCTAAAAAGACGACAAGTTTACTCAACTCCAATATTTACATACATTGAATAAGTAAGTAGTTCTCATTCAAACTCTTCTTGGGGACACTCATTGATTACGCTTGCACAGCTGTCGTGTGTAACCAGAGAGCCTATAGCAGGTAGGTGTCGTGAAGGTGGAGGACAGAGGAGGGCAGACTGCCGATTGTTTTACAGGATGACTGCCTCCTATTTTCAGCAGTTCAACGATGGAACTTGAAGCGAGAAGAACCTGTTGCGACAATTTATGACGGGACAACGGACTAAAACTTCGTCTGACGGGGAAAGTGGAGAAGACGTTTTTTTCAGCTTAATCACAATGCCTGCTTATGGACTGGTCGCTCATTTTTATATTTTCATAACACTTGGAAAATTAATTACAGCGGACCTGACTGACTTTTCATGACAAATCCGCAATGTACTACTCTCTGAGGAGCGCGTGCGTAATGGAACTCTTCTTTCGAAAGAAAAAGAATTTAAGAACTGCGGTCAGCCTGACTTTGGTTTTTGCCACTATCCTGATGCTTCAGAGGTTAATTACAGTGGACACGAATTTTAAAGATACCAAACGTTTCGACGTGAAACGCAAATGGTGTGGACCCACATGTAAAAGCATAAAGGCCGTTGAAAATTCCTCCCAATCACACGGGAATGGCGTGGCGCCGGTGGGAAGAAAACCCATGCCAACAAAATGGGACGTGAATAGTATTAAATGTCAGGAAAATTCCACGATGAAGACTCAAGCCTGGTTTCGTCGCTTGAACCCAAGGTTCCACGAATTTGTCCTGCACAGACATTGCAGATACTTCCCAATGTTGCTGAATCACCCGGAGAAGTGCAGCGGTGACGTGGATGTTCTGCTCGTGGTCAAATCGGTTATTGAAGAACATGACCGGCGAGAAGCCGTGCGACAGACCTGGGGAAAGGAGCAAGAAATCCAGGGCTTGAAAATCAAAACACTATTTCTACTAGGCACTCCAGCCACTGGCAAAGACACACGAAATTTACAAGCCCTGGTCCAATATGAAGACCGAACCTACGGGGACATCTTACAGTGGGACTTTATGGACACTTTCTTCAACCTCACTTTGAAGGAGGTGAACTTTCTGAGATGGTTCAGCATCTACTGCAGTGGAGTTCCCTTCGTCTTCAAAGGGGACGATGACGTTTTTGTCCACACCAAGAACTTAGTGGAACTAATTGGCTTTCGGGTGGAGGAGAACAGAGCGGAAAACCTCATTGTAGGAGACACCATTTTAGAAGCCAAACCGATCAGAAACCGCCAGAGTAAATATTTCATTCCCAAAGAGTTGTATGATAAACGCTATCCACCTTATTTGGGTGGGGGAGGATTTCTCATGTCCTCTCAGGTGGCCCACAGGCTCTTTGCGGTTTCTGAGAGCGTGGAGCTTTACCCCATTGATGATGTGTTTTTGGGCATGTGTCTTCAGAAGCTGAAGATCGTCCCCGAACTGCACCTGGCCTTCAGGACATTTGGGATCATTAAGCGTAAAGTGACTCGTCTGAACCGGGAGCCGTGCTTCTTCCGCAACCTCATCGTGGTGCACAAACTCGGTCCGCAGGAGCTGCTGCAAATGTGGACGCTTGTTCAAAACGAGGACTTGAACTGTGCCAGACACGTCGTAATATGAAAAGATGCGTATTTATAAAGACACTGTGAAGATGTTTTTTTCAAATGAAGCGTTTTTGTTATTTTCATTCAATGTTTTTTTTTTTTTTTGTAATTTTGTAAGGAAGGATGAAGATGATGAATATTTGTAGGCTAATAAATTACAAGTCTTTTAGTTATGGTCTTATAATACAGGGAACAAATACAACCCAAATCTATCCATTTTTGTTTATTACATAAGCCTACCAAGGCTAGCTGGCTCAATGTTTCCTCCAGTGAGTAAGTAGGCCTATATTCTAAACACATACCTTAAAGACTTGGCTAAAAAGGTGAAACCCACGGAAAAAAAACGAATAAATAAAGGGGAAAACATGCATATTGTATATTAAGGTGGACCTTTGTGACAACATGCCCCAATAGCGGAATATTTTATGACTACAAGCACGAAACAATTCACCAAATAGCAATAGGCTGATGTAAAAGGTAAGACACAAATATGTAACACCTGTTTTGGCCAACAAATAATGTAATTAATAAATTGCTTATATACACTTAAAACTCATGTAAGTTTGCCCAACCTGGAAAATGTTTCACTAAAGATCTACCTTCATTACATATTTGATTCTTGTCTTCATGTACACTCGTGTGGTTTTTATCATTTACTTTTTTAATAGCTGTTAACATGAGGTTGCAATTTTAGGAGATAATTCACACAATGTTTAGAATTTAAGGGGTTTAGAATAACACTTTTGTAATTTGACTTTTGACCAAAAAAAACAAGCTAATCTAGTAAGAAACATATAAAATGTACTTTTATGCATATTATGATGCACCAAATACTACAAGAAATTCACTAGAAGAAATTTCCTAATGACTCTTACATAGAATGGAGATTGTAGCTTTTAAGCACTGTAAAAGTATGATTAGCCTATTCTAAAAAAATTATGTGTGTTATGCTCTATATTCCACATATTCTAAAGTCATTCTGTGCCATACAGTAGCTTTGTGTGAGCAACAGTCTGAAAGTCGTTATTCACTCCTTTGGTGCTTTTGGCATCATCTTTAGTCCACATTCAACATAATTTAATGTAATTCAATTGAAATGTTCTCTATAATGTTCCGTGGAAGAAAGTAAATCGTACAAGTTTGAAATGACATGAGGGTGAGTAAATTACATTGATCTGCATCATTTCCATTTTTGGGTGAATAACATGGCATGACATACACTCAACATCATCAACCAAACATTTGTCAGATGGAGTATTTTTACAGATCAAAAAAAAAAAAGCAAGTGACATTTTCATTCAAATACATTTATTAAAACAAACAAATAAAGCTACAAAACAGATTTTAGCTTCCACTGATATCAATGCACATAGAGTTGAGAGGCATATAATTAATGTGTGGTGACACAATTCAAATTACAATCAGTATAAATCTTCAAACTCTTGTTTTGCAATGTCTTAAACTGTCTCAAGTGCAAACAAGCCTGTACAGACAACATTAAAGCTGTGAACTGTACACCTGTGAAAAATGTAAAGTGGCCAGACTAAGAATGCACATATAAAGTATTTTGTAAGTGGCCGTTAAATTAATTTAGTGTTCCCAAATGAAGCTTGTAATCATGTCCTTGAGAACTGACAATACACATTAGTGCAGCATTTTCAGGTACCTCCTCCAGATTACCATGATAGACAAAACTCTGCTGTGCTTCTTAATTTTGCTACTGTAACTAAAATAAATCCAAATTAAAGCAAACACAAAAAAGCTCTACTCCACAAAAACAATATATGATACTCTATATATTACCAGTATACAAAAATGTAAAATTTTGACTGAAAAATTAATACTATTGGGTATGTGTGTCAGTCATCTGTGCAAAAAATTGAGTGTTTTTTACAGCACTCTCTCCACTCTGAAATAATTGATTAGGTTGACTTATTTAATAAATAAGTGATATATTTAAATATTACATATCTCTGTAAAGCCACATGAGTGAATCATGTCTGCAGGGGTTGATTTATGTCAGTTATATAATGGATGTCTCAGCGGTGAGCTGTAGGAGCTACAGACAATGCATAATGTCAGCCATGACTCCAGAAGACATTCTTAAAAAGAAACGCCTCTGCTGAGATCACAATCAGTTTTAAACTGGTTTGTTTTATTGCGGTTTAACATACTGTTAAAGCCTATTGGGGTTGTACCTTTAAAAATTCCCTCCCTGGCTCACACAATAGGAAAACTAACTTTATACTTGTGTTTAATCATCACTCTATGCAAATAATTAAAAAAGTTACATTATGGCTTATTTTCAGGCACAGGATTAGCCTATTCCACTCAGAATGTCTATCATAATGTTTCATATCTTCGGTCTCAATGATTTTATAAGCATGACTGGACTAAATCATTACTTTTATAACACAATCAATAGAACAGCATAGTTCAATGCAG